AACCAACCAAGTGGTTTTTAACTTTTTATGATTGGTTTTTGCTTCTGGGCATATTTAAATAGTTCTCCAACAAAAACGCCTCAAAAACCACTTTCCGTTTTTGGTCGTTTAGTGAAAACCATGCTAAACGGCACGAACTTGGTTAGTCGTGGTTTTCAACTAAATGACGTGGTTTTTAAAATGTTTTACTTGATTTCTTAGCAAAATGCAATAAAAAAATGTTTTCAATACTTGGTTTTTACTTTGGAGAACTTGTGTTTTTGACATCGGCTAACAGCGTGACTAAATCAACCATGGGTCTCGCTAAACAAGCCCAACAGCGATGTTGAGGTAACCAACAGCGCTGTCTGGCTTGAGTAGCTAAAAACATGGTTTGGCGTTAAGTCTTCCAACAGCGATGTTGGATGTTAGACATCGCTGTTGAGCCAAGGTTGGATTTCCAAAAACTTCTGGAACAGCGATGTAGGCCTCCCTACAGCGCTGTCCAACCTAAGCCAAAAATATAGTGCATTGGCAGAAAGTTTCAGGACAGCGATGTTGACCCAGCAACAGCGCTGTCAGGCCAAAACTCCACCTTCAAAGGCAGACCTAAACAGCGATGTTCTAGTATGGAACATCGATGTAGAGACCTGACCGTTGGAAGGAATTTAAGGCTAAAACTTTCCTTGTTTGGAAGTCAACAACCAAAACAGCGATGTAGGGATTTTAGACATCGCTGTTGGCATGACCGTTGCTTCCCATTTTACAAAACGCAAGCCTAGAACAGCGATGTCCAAGCCTAGGACAGCGCTGTCTGGGTGAATTTCAACAGATCCAATCTTCATCAAATCCCACAAATTGTACCAATCACCCCTTAAATACTTTGGTCCGTTGGAGCCTATTTTTCTACTATAAAATGGGGTGTTTGGGTCTGTTTTACACATCACATTACTTCACAACTCCTACTCTTTCATTGCAAATCATTCTTCAATTATTCGTAGCTTTTGAGAGCCATTTTTTGTGAAGCTTGTGTTGTGTTCTTGAGCGTTCTTAGTTTACTCATTATCCACTCTAAAAGAGAGTATTGTTCTTGAGTGTTTTTAGTGTTCTTAAACACTTGACAAGAGAAGGTATTTCTCTTGTTGTTCGAAGGAAGGGCTGTTTCCTTCAAAGGTTCGTTGAGGTTCGTGTGACTCGAATTCTCAAGTTGTACGGGTTTGTTAAGCACCGTTAAGCTTAACGAGGTAGTAGTGTAGCTCGAGAGAGTCTCTCGGGAGGCTGGATTAGCCACAAGTTGTGGTGAGCCAGGGTAAAATCGGTGTGCCTCTTACTCTTCTCTTTACTTCTCGTTTATTCATTTTTTTATTCCTGCAATTTTTTGATCAAACGCTATTCACCCCCCCCCCCCTAGCGTTAGTCTCTTATTCTAACACGTCTCACTGTCTTTATCCACTTACATTTTGGCACACCATCCAATGCACTTCTTTAATCCATTTTATTTTGTAATTTGTATATTAAAAAATTATAAAAATTATATATTAATAATCTATATGTTAAGACAAATCAAACAAGATCACACATGACTATTTTTAGGCTTACACATTGAGAGAATTTGATGAGTCAAAGTGCTTAGATCAACAGTTCCAAAAGTCAAAACTGGACAAAGACAATGGGATGGAGGTAGTACATTCCTATCAGGAATAGGAATGGGGATTATACTCCTTATAAATAGGAGATCAACCCACGCGTTTTAGAGTACTAGAGAATTTCGGCCCTAACCATTTTTAAGAGAGAAAAATTTGTTTTTTTCGCTTAATACTTTACACCAAATATTTTATATTTTAGAAATATTCTAAAGAAAAATTACTAGCATAATTTTCTCTAGAACACTCTTCATTGATTGTGTGTCTCAACTGGAGGTCATATACTTTTTTGGCTAGCTCTTGGATAAATCCATCAACCCACACATATCGTTGCTTGCTCGCCAAAAAAGGTATATTTCTTAACAGTAACTTATAATAATCATAAGAGGTCTTGGGTGGATCTACGTTTGGACAACAAAATTTTATTGTTTTTCGCTGCCCTATCCAAGCGTAGAACCCAACAGCTTCCTCGCTTCGAGGTTCAATTCTTCGCCCTTCTCTTCAATTTGTCTTCAATTTGTTTCAAATTCCTTGTTAATTGTTTCAAATTGTTGTTAATTGCTACATTTTTGCTAGATTAATTGTGTATTACATGCTAATTTTCACTTTTCTTAGGGTTTTCTCGTTCTCTCATGCCTCACACCAACCCTAGCTACCATGTCAGATCGTCGAAGCACCAGACGTTTGCGCACAAGGTCCCATGTCGGTGAATCAAGCACTACCCAAGAGGAACGATCTGTCTCTCCGTTTGTCTTTCCCGGAGGTGATTCCAAATGCCTTTTCTTTAATGATTTTTTGAATCGCCCTATTTTAACCCCCAAATCCATTCTTCATACCGTATTTTGTCATATATCGTTTAACGATGCTACTAGTTTTGTTGATAGACTCGGTGTCACTTCTTTTGTGCATAAAACATTTGATGTCTATTGTCCAAAGCTCATTTGCCCGTTTTATGCAAATCTCTCTTTCAACGGACGGGTTCTCAAATCCTCCGCCAATGGCACCAACATTGAGATGACTCTCAAGGATATTGGTGAACTTTTTAACTTTTCCTTTGAGGGATGTGATTTTCACAAGTTCACGTCTAGGGAATTCAAAACTTTTTCTCCCTACGACACTAAGGGACCTGACTCGGAACCACCTATGCTTATTCAAGAAAATAAGGAGGAGGAAGTTTTGCCTATGGCAGTAAATGACCATCTCCTTAATTGTGTTGAAGACACACCTCTAGAGGAACCTGTTCTGGAGGAGATAGAGCCCACTACCTACCCCCAAGTTCAAGAGTCTGAGGAGGAATCTATGGACGAGGAAATACTGTGCATGGAAAAACCAACTTCGTCTATAGAAACATGTACAAATAATGCCTCATCAGCAGATTTAGACCAAACTTTATTTGACTCCTTACCTGACGGGTGTAACCATGTTTGCCCAGAGGATAGTTGGAGCCAAAAGAGTTGGGATGAACTTCTGGTAAGTGATATTAAGGACTCTTCCATGGGGGAAATCACCGTCGTAATCGTCAAACCATAATTGGATGGTCAGCCCATTGAAGACAAGGAAGAAATCAATCTCGCTATGAAGGCCAATGATGTGGATCAACTTAGGAGACTTCCGCCACCACCCACCTCTCTAGAGTCTCCCCCATTTATCCTGTTGCCACCAAGCCGCAGGTACAAGTCAAGGATCCTGGACCTTAACCTAGAAAAGTACCAAATAGGGTGGCATCAGAAGAGAGTCGGAAGGCCTAAACTTTATGACTCTCGGATCGGAAAGTCGCGGAAAAAGTGGGTGAGTGTCAAGCTACGGACGCTAAAGAAGTGCTTAACGGGAGGCAACCCGTCATTCAAATAACTAAAATAATTAAATAAATTCAATAAATTTTTTTTTTGTTATTTTTGAGTTTCTTCTTGCCGCACCAGTTTTGGGGGCAAGATTTTATGTGTTTGTTTATGTGTGTGCAGATGCCTCATCGACCTGCTTACCCTACTGTGGACCGTAATGAGGTCCACCTGATTGATGCTGCCTCCAGGATGAGGTTCGATGAGTGGCAACACTCACGGCTGTTACACGAGTCGGTGTGTCTTGCTCAGGACACACTGACGAACTATGGCTATGCAGAGGAGATGGTTGAGCTGCTTGAGGGGACTAGATGCCAGCACCTGCTTCAGATGAGGGAAGAGTCTAGCCTACCACTGACCATCAAGTTCTTATGCTCGATACCTGCTCTCCCGGAGATTGAGTCACGACAGATGACTCATACTTTGGGAGAGATGGTTGTTCATCTCGGGCTTTACACTTAGAAGGTGGGAGAGATGGTTGTTCATCTCGGGCTTTACACTCAGGAGGAGACCGAGCAGCCTGAGTTCTACGACGCTCCTTTCTGCCTTCCTGCATACTTTGACCACTAGGCTTTCTAGAGGGAGCATTCATCTGACGAGCAGGAGTTCGTCACCAAGAAGAGTAAGGCGCGATATAGGATTCGGCCCAGCTGGGGGATCCTATCTTTTGTTCTTTCGACATCCTTCTTTGGGAGGGCGTCGAACACAGATAAGGTCTACGAGGAGGATATGTGTGTCTTTTGGAGCTTGCACGACCGCCAACTGGAAAACGTGGTTGTGTACCTGGCCAGATTCTTATACTCCCAGTCCTACGGGTGTAGGACACACTTGGTCTGTGGGTTCGTAATTACACTGCTCTTTCGCTCCTTCATAGGGAACGCACCGATCCCACGACCTATCTAGTTGATGAGGGAGTTGGATGCCGGCATGCTCTGAGAGCACTACGGCTTCTACTGACCACACTTCACATGAGATGAGAGAGTCTTCTGGTCGGTCACAGAGACTGTCTCAGCGCCTTCCTCGTCGACGACCTACCAGAGCACAGTTGGCTCACGCTTAGACGGAGGTACCACCAGTATGGGCCCAGCAGCTTTTGGAGAACCAGAATACATTAATGCGGTCCGTCGCGGCACTCCAACAGCAGGTGCACGGTTTAGACAGGATGCGTGAGGCATTGCGTTTTGAAAACCCGACAAACCTCCCGTCGCATCAGCAGCAGCCCCGAGATGACGATCCCTCCACCTACCAGCCTCTGCAGTGATCTCCTACTCTTTCAGAACTTTTTATCTTATTTGAGCTGGAATTGATGACTTGACTGGTTTATTTGGATTTCTATTTGACTTCTTATAGTAAACTTTTATGGTTATGCTTATTTACTATTTCAATCATCATTTTGAATATTTTACTTATGCAATCATCTTATTCATCATATCTTTGATATTTCAACCAAAATTCTACTCTGAAACACTTTTTTTTGGCCGCAAGGGCGCGGTTCCGTTCAAGTGTGAGGAGGATGTGAATTATTGGTTGAAATATTCTGGGTTAGAATTGTTTGCTTTGCATATTTGTGGGTAAAGATTTTATAAGTATGGTCATCAACTCTTTTGTTTAAAGAATTAAGTTTTTTTATCACCCATCAACTTTTATTCTTTTCCCTAATTTTTTTTCAAACGATTTCTAAAATCATTTGGGATACATTAGTATTTTCTAAGTTTTTTTTAAGATCAATCAATTTTTAAATAGCTTCTTTAAAAATTTCGTTTCTCATAAAGGTTTCTTCTAAATATAAGGGTCTATATAAAAAATTTTAATGGTTTAAATTTTATTTGTTGGGATTGCGCTTAAGTGACGAATTGGAAATTCTATCTCCGTAAAGGGGCTCTGCTTCTCCCGCTAATCGCATAAGCCGAGGGAGCAAGTATGCATTTGTCATAGAATAAATCCACAATCTTAGTAATGCAATATGCCTTGGCGATTTTGAGAATTCTCTCTAATAAATAATGCTTAATAAAATAAATAGGCCCTTATTGTTTGACAAAAAACCTTTTTGGAAATCCATTTTTATTAGAGCTTTTAAACGCTTTTTGATTTTAAAATAATCTTTAGAAATATGATTATCCCAATGAAAATTTAGAGTTTAGTTTGATTTAATAGGGTAAAAATATTAGTTTACAAAATACTTTTAAATTTCTAAAAGTATGGGTGAAATCTATATATTTACTTATTCATGCAAAAACGTTGATGACCATCTTATCTTTTCTTTACTTCAAGTTGTGTAACTTAAACTTTTCTTCTATGATTGCTAATTTTCTTCTATGATTGCAAGCAACGTTTAAGTGTGAGGAATTTGATAAGTTCATTTTGTTCTTATTTTATTCTACATATGTTAAGCGTTATTGCACGAAAATAGTAATAAAATTACCCATTAAAGTGTCTATTAGTGACAAAACTTATGTTTTGTCTCAAGAAGAATAAAATACGGGTTCAAAATTAAATTAAGTGGATTTGTCAATTTTATGTCCCAAATTGGAGAAAAAGTTTCAGATTTATAAGATCACAATACTTCGGAAGAAGAAATCAGTGTTTGGGAGTCAAACGGACCAAAACAGAGCAAAAATCGACCAAGATCTCGAATATTCGCGAATTGGGCACAGGATTGGGGTCCTGGGCATCCAAAGATGGACGCCCGGGGTAGTTTGACGCCCAAGAAACCACGACTGAGGCGTCTTCTCCACCCTATAAAAGCAGCGCCACTCTCCACCATTTATACACCATTCTCAACCCCTCTCGGGTTTCCTCACTATTTTAGTCAATATTTCGTGTAGAGTAGTGTTAGTATTAGTTTTGAAGTATTTTCCGGAGGATTTGACTCCCAATCTGTTTTGTTCCGCTTTTACAGAAGCCGTAAATTTTCTTATTTAATAAAATGCTGTTTTAATTTATGTTTGCATAGTATGAGTTAGAGTCCGGATCTCTGGGCCCGGACTACTTTGGTTGTATATTTTGAATGTTAAATTAATGTTAGAATGGTTAGTATATTGTTCTTGCCTTATTTAGTTAATTAATCCTGAAAGATTTAATTAGCTATTTATTGAGAAAATATTGTATGCCAAGGGGCTATGATATTCAAGAGTAACAGATTAAGTACAAATCTAGAAATGGATGAGTAATAATAGAAATATTATTATTCCAAATGTTAATTAAATATAATAAAATAGATCCAAATGATGTCCAGACCCTAGGTCCAGATCTATACTTATACTATGTGAAATTTATTTATTATTTTTACTCTACTCTTTTTATATTCATTCCGAGAAGACTTTCATAAGCCCGTCCAAGCCTTCACCTAATTAGAGAAATTAACTAATTCCCTTCGTCCACTCCTCGAGAGACACGACACTCGAAGAGAAAACTAACCCTTTATTGGGAAGGTTTACTACCCGAAAAACTACGATCATCAAGGAGGCAATGTTGGCCTTCAAGGAGCTATTGCTTCAACAGTCTATAACAATGGTGGTCTCGTTATAGGTTTCATTCCTGGATACATAGCAACACAATAGGTCTACAAACCTATGTATGGTGCAGAGCACATAGTTTCTAACAACTACTACAAATATTTTGAGATGAATCATGTCGTGGAAGCTTTCATCATTCTTCCTGGAGGAGTTGACACTCTCGAAGGTTTGTTCACCTTAATCTCATGGGCATCTGAAGGGTTACACAATAGACCTATTCGTCTCTTAAACATTGACGGTTATTTCAATAACCTTCTCAAATTCTTAGACGATGCAGTGAGGAAAAACTTCATGGCTTCCAGTCAAAAGAAACTTTTCATTTCTTCTTTCTTTTTTTATGAGCTTTTAGACAAACTAGAGTTTGCTAAAGCTTTTCCGAGTCCTAGGGCTAGTTATGACAATTTTGCAAATCCTGGAAGATTAGACTTAGAATTGCATCTGTAATGTTCCTCGTTGTGTTTTGTACATAAATGGTTAGCCATAAATATTATTCTGAGTTGCGTGGCCAGTGCAAGCTACATTTTCTTCATTCTTCAGTTCTTCGTTTTTGATGTCACTGTTTCACGTCTTGTTTTGTATTGTCACCACATCGCGATCTTTCGATTCAATAGCATATACGAATGAGTCAATTATCTTAATTGATTTGTTTTGTGAGCATCACTTTACTTCACTGATTCAATCACACTTCATCGACGTTTTCGACGATAAGCAATTAAGTCATTAGTCACTTCATGACGAGGCATCAGTTCGTTCAACAAGGTTGAGTAGTCTATAGTTTTTAACAACCAAGTTCTTTGTATCTGACCAAACAAGTTGTCAGTTCGTAGTAAAGGGTAGCGATTCTTGATCGTTAGTTTTTTCAAGTTTCATAACAGGGATTTGATAGTATCCTGACCGTAAGTCAATCTTAGAGAGCACAATGGATCCTCTAAGCTGATCAAATAAGTCATTAATACGAGGTAAAAGATAACGAATAGTTCAACTGACAGTAGTTTATATAGAGTCTCATTGATTCTTCTTTATTAGAGTATGAACAGAACAGATATTCTCTGATGGAGGAAACACTTGGTCAGATGATTTCTTGTCAGGCAATCTTCATAATTGAGTTTTCGATTTTGACAAAAACACATTCAATATGGAATTACAAATATTGGTTCTTTCTAGGATCAAGATCGATAGAGAAATCAATTTCTCGGAACGGTGAAATATTAGGAAGTTCATATTAGAGATGTGACATACTTTCGGTACGTTCCTTCAGTTCAGATCTTTCTTTCGCGTATCACATGAATGGGCTTCACGCTTCTTATGGTTGAAACGTTTCGTGTATGTATATGAGATGAACTCGGTCAATTTAGAAATCAGCTTTGCTTTCACCTCTATGATGTTACCATCATTGGTCTTCAATTGAGGAATTTTTCATCACAAGTTGTCAATAGCAACGACATTCAGTCAGTCAATTTGTACTAAGGATAATGTCAATTTCCTTGTATGGTATTTCAACGAGGTTTTGTAAGGCATTATCGTTTAACGAACGATTTCAATTCACATGATGTAACTGCATATTGTGTCGTAATGAGTTAGGCATCAGAATGGGATACTTTACATAACAAAGTTTATTGATTTTAAACGTCCGTGTTTGAATCAGCGATTAGATTGTGTTGAGTCAACATGAGGATCTTCAGCGCTGGATTTACAGATGTTGTTCATAAAATCAACATTAATCATTTTTTCAGAGTCGTCTCACTTTTCTGTGACCTTTCGATGCAGATCAATTTCGTTATGCACGATGCGATGCGTATGAGAAGGTTATACATATTTCGTTTATTCTTTCGTCTCTTTCCGAGTACAAAAATTCATCTTGAGTCTATGCTCGATACTATTTCAGTACTAACAATCATCATCTAATGAGAATTTTAAGAAATCAATATTTACCTTGTAAATTCTCATACCTTTCCTGGAGCAGAGGGATGCGAGAGTCGTGGATGTGACTAACATTTTTTTAATTCAAATTTTGATCCAAAGATTGTTTTAAAACCATTTGCTCGTTTCGGACTAAAGTACTAACTTGGTAATCGTAAAATTTAAACTTTTCAAACACTTTTATTTATCACGATAATAAATTTTCATAACATAAACAGTACGAAGTATTCAACAATATTGCAAAAGCAAATTTAAATGTTGTCATATCATAATAAATTAATTCAAGACTTGTCACATCCATCCCAACCATCTCGCCCCATCTGCTGCCAGGATCATATTACATCATTCTTTCTATTGACCAGTGTGTAGAAAATAAAACACACTACACACTCAGCGGTGAAGCTGAGTAAACATATCTAAAGCGTCGAACATCCACATTAATTGAATCTCAATTCATAATCAACCATTTGATATCATGCACATAATGTTCAGTTCAGATATTCATTATTCAACATTCATCGTTCCATATTCAGCATTCATTTTCATATTCAACATTCAACATTAAAATTCAATATTCAACATTTATATTCAACAATATCCTTAAACTCTTCTTAGTCTAAAGCCAATTCAATTCTTAAACTTATTCTAGTTTAAGATATTCTTAACTAACCCTTAAGCTAGGCCTAGTTTAAGATATACATATTTTAACATATTTTCAAATCTTAAACTTACGTTCGCTTAAGGTCAACTAAAAACCGATAGCGTAGTGTTCACTGTAGGGTTGGGTGGTACCTCTAAACGAGTAGGTACTCAAATTTGGTTCTTGGATCTCGTACGTACGTTTTAACCATAGCCACCGGGCATCATACCCGCAAGGCCAATTTCTAATCTATCTTAGAGGTCTTCTAGATAGTAATAGAAACCAACATCAATAGGGATATATCTTAGTGTTTTTCTAGATATCATTAATATTTCATCATCAATTTCCAAATGGGTATATCCTAGAGTTCTTCTAGATATCCTTAACGATACAATTCATCAATCCAAATCATTTCATAATCATCGATGTATTCATTTCAAATCATAGTTTAAACCATTCACAATCATCATTTAAATTAGTAGCTTCATCATCAATACATCATATTCATCCATAACAATAATCATCATAATATTTAATAACAATTAGCGGCCTAGCATCGAGTGCTAACACCCTAGCTTACCGTCATCCATTAAAGTCCTCTTAATTGTCAAAACGTCATTTTTATTCCAAGAGATCATTTTTATAATAATCATAATTGGTTGGTATCAAAAATAGGATTCTATAGTTCAAAAATCATGTTTTCTATACAATAATTGATTAATATATGATAGGAATTCTAATTAACAGCTACTGGCTTCATTTTCTTTAGCAGGGTAGGAAGATAATCGATTATCACTCAGGATAATCGACTATCTGACTTTCAGAATGGGGTGATAATCGATTATCACATTCTGATAATCGATTATCAGCTTTTGATTCATTTTCAGAGAAGTCTGAGAATCGATTTTTATATTATGACAATAGACTATTGCTCTGCTGTGTTCCAAAAATCTGCAGAACGATGAATAGTCGATTTTTAAGTTAATAATCGATTATTTGTCATCTTCTTCCTCGAGTCACTTTTCAGAAATGTCATTTTTAATCACCAAACTTCAATTAAAGTATATGAAAATGTTCCCCAAAGTTCATATATCATTTTGGCATCATTAATTCGTAATTTTAACATCAAATTTATGGTTTATGATTCTTAGTTCTTTAAGCATATCAAACACAAAACTCAACCAAATGACCATTTATGAACGTAGAAATGACCTATATCAAAATTCTAGTCATTAGATATATCTACGGACTTACCTCGAAGCTTAACGAAGGTTTTAGAAATTTTCCGGTGAAACTTCCGGCAACGATATCTCTTAGCTCTGGCGATTCCACACCAAATTGACAGCACCACAACACTCCTTACACTCAAGGCTAACTCTCAGAAGAAATTTGAGGGAGAATGGTGAAGAAATGAGAAAGATTGAGTTGGACTTATATAATAGTTGTGATGAAGAAGAAGCCAGGAATGTTTCCTTCACAAATCCTGTGATCGGCGTAGTGGGGAAGGAAGCGCCGTCTAAAAAGTTCCCTGATTGGGATGAATTTTTGTTTTAGTCGGGGTACACTTTTTGGTCCAACTTTCTGCGAATTGAATTCCGTTTGCACCGTTGCGATCAGATAGTCGAATTCTATTCAACGATATACTTTTCACAATTATTTGAAATACTTTTTCTGACGTCATATTTTTGGGTATTTGACTTTGACAGAGTCAAAATTCATTTAATTGACCTTTATTCAAAAGGTTATTTAATTCATATCATTTATTCCCATGATTTATTTTAATAAATAATTTCAATATTTACCTCACAAGTCAATTTCTTAATCTAATCTTGATTTGGGTCTGTACTTAGGTTCCCAATCAAGATCACACAATAAGTCAACATGTTGGATTTATCTCTATGAGATTTATCTAGATTGTGATATTATATATCAGAATATATTTCCTTTTTGGCCCAAAGGCCAATAACAATTTTTTTTTAATCAAAACAAATTTGTTTAATTGAATATTTAATTCAATAAATATTAGGGTATGTTTTGGGGCGTTACACGAACCATGTGGGAGAAATTAGGGTGGAGTTTCTAAGGTGACTCCGTAATTAAAAATTGTCCTGAACGGTAGGCGTCCCCCCCCCCAAATTTCTCCTAATCGAAAACCGTTTGTATTTCTGGAATCAGACAGTCAAAACTAGTATTATGATGTGATCAAATACTTTTTTCCCAAGACTTTATTTTTCCCAACTCCGGACCGTATTAATAATTAATTAATTAAATTAATAAATTCTAATAGGCCAAGTTTCATGGTGTTATATATATATATATATATATATATATATATATATATATATATATATATATATATATATATATATATATATATATATATAAAATGAAAACTGCGATGTTAGAGAGAAGGGAGAGACTTCCGGCGACCTCTCCGGCAACTTATCCGGCATCAACAAATGTAGCAAAAACCAAGTTCCAAGGCTTCAAAAAATACTTCACTGAATTATTCAAGATACATCAAGTTGAGGCTGTTGGAAAAATCGAAGGTTTTTACAATGGTATCCCATCAGTTTCTTTCAATGAAGAAGAAGAAAAGATTTTGGAGAATAAGCTCCTTCACTCTGCAGTTGGAAGATTCCAGCAGGAAGTTGACCTATCAACTATAAAGCAATGGCTACTGAAACTGGGCTTCAACTGGTTCAAGCTGCGCAGAATTAACACCAGAGATATCCTATTCATATTCAAGGAGGAAGAAGACTACTTACGTCTTATGCAAAAAAGCATATGGTATGTTCAAAATATTCATTTCCATGTTCTTAAATGGACCAGAGACTATGACTCAATTGAGGAAAGTCCTATCTATCCAGTTTGGGTCAGCTTAGATCATTTGCCACTGCACCTAATAGATTTCCAAGCTCTTTTCTCTATAGCTAGTCTATTGGGTAGGCCTGTTACTATGGATAATTACATAGTAAACAGAGACAGAAGAGATGGTGCCAGATTTTGTGTTGAGATGGACATTTCCATTCCCCCACCTCCAAAAATCCATTTTAGAATTGGGGGAAAGGATAAATTCATTAAATGCAACTATGAAGATCTGCCATCATACTGCTCTCACTGTAAGAAATTTGGGCACAAATGCTCCCCTAATCCTGTTTCAAAACCCACCGGAACAGTCCCCTCCGGCAAGGGTAAAAGGGGCATTTTGCACGAAGAACAAATGAGCTGGGAAACTACTAAAGGAAAAAGGACAAAGGGAAGGCAAGGGTTCACTGCAGGACATGGTACACAGAAGGATTATGGGCCCAAAAAATTTGAATGGAAATTAAAAGCCTCAAAATCCTTTTTCTCTGCTAATCTAATTGATTTGTTAGATAGTTACAAAGAGGATACTTCCAAAATAGTGGCAACCCCTTCAGCCCCACAGCAGTCTTTACTGACCCTACCCACTGCAGCAAGAGAAAAAGATAATAATATCAATCAGTTCCCATCCCTCTCAGAAGCCAAGGCATATGCTGACAAAACAAAGGCAAATCACTTTAGAAGCTTTTCATCCCCTAAAAAAGGTGCACATAGGGATTTCAATAGGTCCTTGGAAGCCTGCATTTTTCCACTCACCCCTGAATCTGGATCAGCCATGTTAAGTGCAGAATCAATTTCTCCTAAGCTCAATGGGAATCACAAAACAGATGGTCACTCAGGATCTCACTCAGATAGTGGCTCTTTGAAGAACATCTCAGACAGAAATACCATGAAGAATTTTCAGATAGTTATCCCCTCTCCAAACGCCACATCTCTGCAAATTTCAAGGAAAAAAATAATTAGTAAGGAGGGTCCCCCAATGACTATAGTCACTAGAAGCAAGAAGGGACATAAAGAATAAGAAAATCACTCTCATCAATGAACTTGTTATTCTGGAATGTCTGTGGAGTTAGATCCTCTCTCAAAAGGATCAAAACTTTAAATAAAATTCTCTCAATAAAGCTAATTGCTATTCTGGAGCCCATGGTTTCCCCCTCTCAGATCAGTGACTATGCAACTAAAATAGGAATGGATAAGTACTTAGCTTCCAAGAGCAATAAAATTTAGATCCTCTGGATGGGACAGTCTCTAAACTTGATGAACCAGCAGGACTTGGATCAAACTCTAACATGTGACTTACAGGACACTGTCAATATGCAAATTACAAGAGTTACTGCTGTTTATGGAAAACACAATGGGAGAGATAGGAAAATCTTATGGGATGAGCTTAGGAATCTAACCCCTCAAAACATGCACTGGGTTGTAGGGGGGATTTTAATATTATTGCTGATTTATCTGGATATGGATGATTTTAGGGATTGTATCTCTCAATGCTCTCTCTCAACCCCACATACCATTGGCAACAAATTCACTTGGTCAGGGATTAGAAGCAATGGCAAAGTGCTCAGGAGGCTGGACAGGGTGTTAGTGAACAACCTTACTATGGATGATTTTGAAGATATTTATGCTAAACATCTGAGCAAAGCTACTTCTGATCACAATCCTATCCTCCTCTCTTGCATCAAAACAGATAAAGGGGGACCAAAGCCCTTCAGGTTCATCAATGCTTGGGGTAACCATCACAGTTTGCAACATATGATCACCAAGGTGTGGAACACTGGTTTTCATCATGGAGGAATGCTTGGACTTTCCAACAAGCTGAAGAGCCTCAAAGTACAACTAAAGGAATGGAACATCAGTTGTTTTGGAAACATTTTCTTAAATCTTAAGAAGGCAGAGGAAGCAGCTGTACAAGCTCAACAAGCCTATGAACAGGATCCTAGTGAGAAAAACAGAGAAGAAGACAATAAAGCCAGAGCCAAACTCATTTTGGCATGTGATAATGAGGTCAGCTATTGGAGGCAAAAAGCTAATCAAAAATGGATGGAAGAGGGAGATTCAAACTCAAAATTATTCCACTCGTTTGTAAAAGGTAAGAGATCCAAAAATAGAATCAGATCTATTTTGGATAAGGATGGGAAAGAAATTACAGATGAGGAGCTGATCAATAAACAAGCTGTGGAATACTTTGAGAATGTCTTTAATCATAGAAAAGAGATCCTCTTACAACCTGTCATGCAATATATTGAAGCTCTAGTCAATCATGAGGACAATATAAACTTGTGCAAGATTCCAAACTCTGAGGAAATTAAAAATGCAGTTTGGTCTCTCAACCCTAATAGTGCCCCTGGGCCAGATGGCTTCAATGGTTATTTTTTAGGACCTATTGGGAAATTATTCAGAAAGATGTTATTAGTGCTACGCAAGAATTCTTCTTGGGGATCCCCATTCCCAAAAGTTATGGTGCTACTTTCATAAGTCTTATCCCTAAAAAGGATATTCCTAAAGACTTGGGGGATTACAGACCTATATCCCTATCCACCTTCATGAGTAAGATCTCTACTAGAAATCTTGCAGACAGGCTACAAAGGATCCTACCTAAGATTATATCCCCTGAACAGGCAGGCTTCCAGAGAGGAAAAGGTATAGAGGAACAGATACTTCTGGTTGAAGAATTTGTTCACAAAATGGACTACCAAACTAGAGGGGGTAATACAATTTTAAAGTTGGACATGGCCAAGGGTTTTGATTATCTGGAATGGGAGTACCTTCAAGGCATCTTACACAATTTTGGCTTCACAGATCAGGCACAACACCTACTGATGGCTAATCTTAAAGCTACTCATTTCTCAGTTATGATAAATGGCAGTCCAAAGGGTTTTTTTAAGATGGCTAGAGGGGTAAAACAGGGGGACCCACTCTCCCCACTGCTCTTCATCATAGCAGGAGAAGGGCTGTCCAGAATGATTAAGCACCTCATGCATACAAACTATCTTCAAAGATTTAACACTGGAAGGGACCTACTTATAAGTCATTTGGCTTATGCAGATGATATTATTATCTTCTGTAATGGGAGTCTTGGCAATATGACTAGAATTAAGGAGGTCCTTCAGATCTTTATGGCAGCCTCAGGCCAAGAAATAAACCTGAATAAGAGCAGATTCTATTGTGGAAAGGGTGTCAAACATGACTCAATACCTAAAATAGAGGACAGATTGGGTATGAAACATGGAGCTTTACCCTTCAAATACTTGGGAGCCCCAATCTGTAAGGGGAAACTGAAAAGAAGGGACTGTGGGATGGTTACTGAGCACTTTAGAAAGTACATTGAGAGCTGGTATAGAAAAACTCTAAATCCTATGGGGAGGTTAATCCTAATCAAGCATGTACTTAGCTCTATCCCCCTACATCTGATTGCTGTGCACATTCTTCTAAAGTCTGTTATCAACACTCTACACTCCATGATGAGCACTTACCTGTGGGGAGTTGATAACAACAAGCTAAGATATCACTAGAAAAATTGGAAGGATTTATGCACCCCTACAACAGAAGGAGGACTTGGAATTAGAGATCTTAAGGATCTTCAACAAGCATACTCAATCAAGTTATGGTGGAACTTCAGATTCAGTGACAGTTTGTGGGCAAGATTCATGAGGCACAAATACAGCACAGAAAATTTTCACGAAAAAGTTATTGACTCACCCGTTAGAAAAAGAATCTGTAGAATACATGGGATTGCTGAGGAGCTTTTAGGGGACATTGCACCTGACTTGGAAGATGATCCAACTTCTATTCCCTTAAAAGAGGCCTATGAATGCTGCAGGAATTCAGGGGTTATATCCTTAAGGGACAAGTTGAACTGGAGCAACCTACAAATTCCAAAGGTGAGATTTTTCTTGTGGAAAATAACTAATGAGATCTTACCTTTCCCAGAAAATTTAATCAGATTCCAAGTTCACATGCCTTCTCAATGTCCCTTCTGCAAGAAGAATGAAGCTAATATGAACCACTGCCTACTACAATGTGATGAAATCAAGAACATTTGGAGCTTTTATGCAACTATATTAGATGGACCAAGACTGAGGGAGGAGATTAGCTTAAATCAATACCTGATGGAATGGCAGCTGAGATCTCAAGCTAACACAATTAAGGGCAATCCTAGAAACATACTCCCAGGAGTGATTGCTTGGTGTACCTGGAAACAGTATGCAGCCACGGCCTTCGGAAATGAAGCGGTAAACCTCTTCTCAATCACAATGGACATCAAGGCAATGATCAATTCTTGGTGCTGGAAGTACAGGAAAAAAGCTTGGATGATCAGAGATGAGACACTCACAGCACAGGGACTCCAATTATGTCTGAATATGGCTCGGAGGAATCAAAACGCCAATGAAGATGGAGCCACATGACTTGCGAAGCTCTTTTTGTTTTTCCCTTACGTCATTCTGTCTGTAATTTTGCTATTTGTCTTACTTTTGGGGCATTGGTCATGTCCTCCCCAAACGTGTACCTTCAAACTAGTTAATAAAAAATTTATATATATATATATATATATATATATATATATATATATATATATAAATATATATATATATATATATATATATATATATATATATATATATATATATATATATATATATATATATATATATATATATATATATATATATATATATATATATATATATATATATATATATATATATATATATATATTGACGTGGGGAGGAACATATTTACTCGTTATATCAATCATCCGCAATCGCCTGAATCTGTAGGCGCTCTTCGAACCAATCATATACTTTATTTACATTATTGAGATAGGTTGAATCCTCCTCTCAAAATTGTATAGGAAATTTTCATCTCGTACAGCTCAAGCAAAAATGCCCCAATACCAAATGAAATTGAATTGAAATTCCGATTGAAACTCATTAATCTCGCAATTTCAATAAAAATCTAAATTGATCAATTATTTATTATTGTTGTCGCACTATTACCAAAATATCAAGTTAGCTCCTTCGTCATTTTCTTGATTTTGACGGGCGTTTTGAATTTGCTCTTTCCCTACCATTTTTTTTTCATTTATTTTATTTGATAGAAATTACTTCGTTAAGACCCTATGACTTGAAAAAAACCGCAGATTCTTAATTTTGAATCACGATGATTGATGATTCAATAAAAAACCGAAATGCAAGTCAGGATTCCTTGAGTAAGAACCTTTTTATTTTCACTTATATAATTTTTGCGAAAAAAATATCATTTTTTTTATTATATGTAGTGTCCAAATGTTTTTGAACCCCAGCACGAGGTCTGATCTAAATAGTGAATAATTATTAAGTATTAGTCATAGTTTCCAATCTATATTTGTGTTTTAGAGACGACAAATCATATCTGACGAAATAGAATTATCGTTAAAACACAAGAACCAAAGTCTAGGTACTAGCAATTGAATCAATTCCACCTAAAGAGTAAAAAATAATGATGTGGGAAGGAACATATTTACTCGTTATATCATCCACAATCGACTGAATCTCTAGGCGCTCTTCGAACCAATCATATACTTTATTTACATTATTTACTAGAATTATCGTTAAAACACGTCTATATATATATATATATATATATATATATATATATATATATATATATATATATATATATATATATATATATATATATATATATATATATATATATATATATATATATATATATATATATATATATATATATATAA